CACCAAACTTAGTTGAATCTGTAATACGTGATATTTCAAGTGAAAAAATGTAAGACTGATCTTAATTTTTTGTTTGTTTGCCAGCGGTTTACACATAAAGTTTCGCCTGGGAAGAGAGAGGGGAAAGTATAATCAAACACGAGTTTGCAAAGAGTGAGATAGACAAAGAATATTTGTCTTTAGGCAAGTTGGTGGTAGGGGACAATAAGAGAATAATAAATCACTACATATTTACATATATACAGTTGATAGATATGCAAATATTATCACCGAAAGCTAGATCGAATCCTGCTTTGGTTATACATACTTCTCTTTAGCCCATAAGGATTTCGATCAATGAGCTATAAAAGTCGAACTACGTAGAAAATCCAGCTCTGAACAAAACAAAACAAAACAGCCATTTTATCTTCATTTCTAATCATAAATTCGAATGATAAAGAAATACACAAAGAAGGAAATATATAAACAGAAGGACCTGATCATAACGAAGAGCCTTTTCAGACTTTGTTTTGACCTTCAAATCACGATAAATTTCCTTACTCTAAACCCAGCATTAGAAATTACGTGTTCTACTTTGTAAACGTGCTTATAAATGTATACTCGTTATAGAACTATATATTGTATACTGGTAGGACATCGTACCCTGGAAGTGTTTCAAAAGTATACTTGTAGGAACTATATTTACTAATACAAGACAGTTGATTTGTGTATAAAGAATGAAGACATAAATCAAAATATAATTGGAAATTCAGGACTTTAAATATTTTTCTTAATCTTTTCAATGTATTATAGGATAATAATTTTATAGGAGCAAGACTTCTATGATACAACTTTGGTGTTAATATCTTCCAGAAAAAGATAATCGAATCAGAATGCTACATATACTTTCTCACACAAAAGAACGAAAAATTGTAAGAAACTTGTTGCATATTAAGCGTATTAGAAAAAGAAATGTTGGCTTGGTAATATACCCTTAAATAGGGGTGAGCACGAATCAAATGTCTGACTTTTTGAAATTATTCGTGGTTCGATATATTTCTCTCGAATAATCAATTATCTGATTTGATTTGATTTGTAGCTTTCTAGATATTCGATGTTCGGAGATCCGGTTTTTTTTACATTTTTAACCGAATATTCGACAATCTAGACAAATACAATAAAAATAATATACAATAATAATAATTTATTACAAAAAAAGCCATTTACTATTCAGACTTTAATAACTAAAATACTCAATTTGCTGAATAAAAAAATTGTAAAGCTTACATAAAATAATAGTTATATATAATTATTTAAATATATGTATATATACGTATATAACAGATCAGAATGAATTTTAGTTCCTAAAAATGTTAATATTTGTAATTTCTTTTGTTTCTTATGAATACTGCATATTTATATTTGCTTTGTTTGATAGAATTATGGATATGAATAGAATTAAAATCTACAGATATTTTGCCTAGGCCTACGCCTACCCCTAAACTATAAGTTCAAGTGTCTAACCAGTAAAAAGAGAACCAACTTAATGACAATTACAAGAATCAGTTTTGAAATTGTTTGTTGTTGTAATAAAGCTAAAACTAGATTTTGATCCACGTTTCGAAAGCGCAAAAATTTTATGTTGATCATTTTGATAAAAACATGCTTGAATCTATAACTTTTTTATTAGAAACCAAATAATTTCAAAGTCTTATATTATAAAATTTGAATTTCCAACAGTATTTTCATATCCAATCCAGATCCATGGTCGAACAAATAAAACTGATGATAAGTATATAACCAGTATATAGCAAATGTTGATATATATAATTTGTTAATATTATTATTTTCCTAAATTTATCTACAGATCTATATAAATACATATATGAGAATCAAGATAGTATATTTTTTCTATTTTAATCCATCCACCGTTATCAAAATAGTATTTGTTTGTTTCTGTTATAAAGCTAAAATAAAAATAAAAATTGTATTATCGATCAATTAAATATATTAACAAATAAATATGATAAAAAGTAAATAAAAGAATTGGATGTCACTAGGGCTGGGCAAATAAACTGAACCAAAAAAATACAAACCAAACCCAAATCAATAAAAATGAATCCAAATCAATCTGAACCCAACATAAGTACCGAACGAATCTTGTTGTACGGTATTTTGAGTTATGAGTTTTACCGAACCAAATTCGAACTTAAACAAATATCCGAAAGAACCCGAAACTTCAAAGTCCAAAAAAATGTGTACCATCATACCCAATCTTAATTTCTAATATGTAACCAAAACCCATTAAGATGCATTTAGAGACTACACTAATTAGTTATTCCATGAATAATTAACTCAAATACTTAGTCTAATATATATTTTTATTTGGTTAATATTAATGTTTTTATGGTTGACATTGCATTTGAAGTTACTTACGAATAAATTTGTTTTGAAGTTTACACAATAATTTTTTATAATTTAAATAATATTTCTCACGTTTATAGAATTTTTAGTTGATAATTTTATTTTTATATGTTTCATAATGTATGATTTTTGTTCATACAATATTTTGGTTTGTCATGAATCATGATATGTTTAGATTTGTTACGTATAGTTCAGTGACAAATCTCAAGAAGTTGACAAATCATGATAGACTAGTTTCACAAAATTATTTTGAAGGTCAACAATATGGTTTGAAGAAGCTAAATACACAAATTTATTAAAATGAGTTGAAAATATATTGAGTTTAATCAAGTAAAAATAGTATTTGTAGAACCGAAAACTCGATTAATATATGAAACCAAACTTATTTCGGGTAAACCGGATCTTTGACATGTAATTAAACTCGAACCTAATCCGGTTTTACCCGAACAGAATTCGACCCGAATATTTATATGAAATTCATGAGCCCGAAAACTTGAAATCCGAATGAACTGAACAAAAACTCGATTGAGACCCCGATTGTGCAGCCACAGATGTCACATATCAAATCCAGAATCCTAAAAATCAAGTTTGGACTGATAGCTAGATATGTTACAAATATAAATTTGTAAACTATATGAATAATTCGCTTTGGATCTCTGTATACACTCAAATTAATTAAGAATTTGTCAAATGAAAACATTACCATATTGTTTACGGTTGTTGATTATAAACATGTACGACATCCAGTCATTCTGGCAAATATTTTCAGTTATCCCCTATATATTAATTTATATATTAATTGAGAAATTTGAAAAGTTATAATCTTAAATTTGTATTAATTAAAAATAACGTCATCCTACGTGGCACCTCTCTATGCATTTTATTTCGGTTTAGAAAGATTTTAGAGCATCTCATATAAAGCATAGTTTTAAAACATGGTTTGTTGGTCACATATAAGACATATCAAACTAAATCTCTTATATATTATTTCTTTAAATAAAACCAACGAAATTACCTAATGTGATTAATGATTTTAAATAATAAAGATTTGTTAACAATATGTATACTTTATATCATTTTTTTTATTTTTTTATTATTAAAATAAATTACACAACTACACTAATCATATAATAAAATTTTAAATTATTTTATATATGTTCTATTTTCAAATTTTCAAAATGAGTATAATTACTAAAACTGTTAAAAATCTCACATAAACTATTGTGATCAAGGTCTAATTTTTTTATAATAAGTTACAATGATTATAAAATCATATGAATAAATAATTTTATTTTAATAGGTGTTTATGTTAATATATATATATATATATATATCACATCGTATGAAGAAACAATATTATTTTAAACATAATTATAATTTAAAATTTAACTTAATATTTTTATAAAACTCTTTTTTATTTAAAAAAGGTTTTTAAAAATATTATTAGACAAATAAATAAATTATATTAAATTAGTTTTGAAATTTCATATATTCTAAATGGAAAATTTCTACCAACTTTTTTTTAAGAAAACATTAGGGAACTTGATAATGCTCTACCAATTAAGCGATGCGACACTCCATTTATTTTTCATCATTCGAACACTGAAAAGTAAAAAGATATATGAACTGGACCCACTAAATTCTAAGTTTTGAGCTACAGTTCTAATTATAATTGTTTCTGATCCTACGTATAGATAATTATATAAAAACTCCAAATTTTCAAATACATATAAAAACAATCATATGTAAATTTTTAAATTTATTAATAGTAAAATTTTATATTTTAATTACATACACTCATCTCCTAGTTATTAACTTATACCAGCACTAATAAGAAGATAATTTATTGTTGGAAAATAGTTATCTAGCGAAAATTTGGGCGAAAAAAAAAACCCTCAACAAATCGTTTTTTTGGTCATCAACTTCAAGTCGGAATAAGCCATCCTTTTAGTCTATGGGACTTGTCGACTATGAAATTTAGGATACGCTTAATTTTCCTTGGTCTGTTCACGAGTCTATGGGACTTGTCGACTATGAAATTTAGGATACGCTTAATTTTCCTTGGTCTGTTCACGAGTCTATGGGACTTGTCGACCAGGACAAAACAACCTTACCTAATTTAACTGCTGCGTCCTTGTGTTGTGCATGCGTGGTTATCTTTCACTGTCAATGAGATTCGTCATAAAGTGCCTCAGACACATAGTGACAAAATCATGCGCCTATCCCTCATTCGCTTGCGTTGTGATCCATTAATACATAACTGTTCAACATAAATGTTCCCAAGTCATTACAATAATGTACGCAAACAACCTCTCGAATCGTATGCTTTATTAATTATGTTCATTGCCATCTTCAATAGTAATTATAGATGCCAAATAAATCGTTTACATCACTACTTTTCTCCAACTTGTACATCCAAACAGAACATTAAAAAAAAGATTGGTATTTTTCTCGCAAAGCTGCTTTAATTCTTCGTAAGGAATCTGTTGAAAAAAATAAATAAATAAGTTCTTGTTTAAATTGGAAAAATAAAAGACTAGTCCAAGGGATCTTGCCTTCCTATAAATAGCTCAAGCAGACCATTGAGTAGTTATCAAACGAAACAAAGCAACATAAATCAGAGCTAAATATACATAATATCTCGATCGTTCGGAGCCGTCAGATCAGAATCTGATCATGGACAAGGTGATGAGAATGTCATCAGAGAAAGGAGTTGTGATCTTCACCAAAGACTCATGCTGTCTTTGCTACGCCGTGCAGATCCTTTTCCGTGACCTTAGGGTTCAGCCAACAATCCATGAGATCGACAACGATCCTGACTGCCGTGAGATAGAGAAGGCCTTAGTCCGTCTTGGCTGCGCCAACGCAGTTCCTGCTGTTTTTGTCAGTGGTAAGCTTGTGGGTTCGACCAACGAAGTCATGTCGCTTCACCTAAGTGGCTCTCTCGTTCCCTTGATCAAGCCGTATCAGTCATTTCATAACTAGAAAATGAATGGATCCTTAAAAAAAGAAGATAAATTGGTATGTTGATTAGATAGTAAATAATGATGGAAATATTACACGTAAATGTGTATCATGTTGTTATCTATATATATAGCTAATTTTTATATTTTGTTTTGCTGATCATGTCGAAAACATTTAATTAACTAGCTTTGTATTTCCCAGCTTAATCAATCAGTGGATGTACTGATGTGTTATCTATTGTAATGGAGAAAATTATATATCATATATGTTATATTGCCTTTCGTTTTAATTTTTGCCTATCGTACTATTATCACATTTTGAATGGTTCGAGCACTAAAGGTCGATTAAAATGACAACAGATCCAGTTTTTTTTTTCAGATGGAGTAGTTAATTATCACATGGATAGACAAGAACAATACAAAATTTAAAAGAGGAAAATATATACAATAAATGATCAGAACAAAATAATAGATATTTTTGTATCAGAAGTTAGCATGTGTGATGTATTAGTCCGAAGATATTTTCTATAGACGTTTGTAAATAAAATGTCTGTATCCAAAATAAATAAGAGACTAACGAGTAACGACTAAGGAAAAAATGACTGCATGAATTTTGTCAGTATTGTTACCTGATATAATTGAGCTGATGAAACGTGACTGGTGAATTATGATATAGAAATATAGCCAGAGAGACTGTAACGTTACAATGCCTCGCTATTAAGGTCTCTTTGATTTAGCCTTGCTATATCAAAATCTTAATTTCATGTGAATGTTTAGTTTATTTCATCTTTTCTCAATTACAAAAAAAAACGTCTAATATTCACTTAGTATTATAGCACGAGAATAAAGCACACAACTATCTTTCATTTTTCTTCTTCATTTCAATTTTTGCGAAGTAGTGAAAGATGGATCCGAAATTTGAGTACCGTCAAAATGTGAATTTATTAGAGTTCAACATAAATATATCTTCTAAAAAACACAAATACATAATGCATAAAATTAGATTAAGTATTATTATTATATAAGTTTGCACTTAGAATGTGCTATTCGTTTATGTATTTTAATTGAATTTGCTTAGAGTTCAACACTGTTACTTGCACTTAAAGAAGCTGCATATTTAAGTTTTGTTTGTGTCTTGAATGATTATTGGTGGTGTCAAAAAAAGGAAAGGGGGAAAAAGAGGAAGGGCTTTGCGAGAGAAGTGGAATACAACTTCCGAGTTCTTTGGGGGATCTAATCTTGGGAAGGAGAATCTAATCAATCGGTAAGGAACGTGGAAGAACAACCTTCACTTGCTGTCTTTGTCAGTAGGATTCAAAGATTCTTAGCTTTCAGAAAAGCATTCCCGATGATCTATTCATATACATCATCACACAGTCTTCAATAACTCAACTTTATTCTAAGGCATCCCAACTTTTCAAATAATGGACACTAGTCAACTTAATTCACCCAGAACCACCGGTTAGCGTCTGTGGTATATTTCTAAAACTTGGGTAAGTAGTCAATGAGCTTAGAGGCTAAACAAAGTTTATTGCAAACCCTATAAAGCTAACTTAGCAAGTAATAAAGAAACGTAACTGAGCAAGGATAGGGGTGGCTCTTTCTAGTCAATCAAAAAAATATCATCACTAAATGAAAATTTATGAGACTGCTCAAGTCTGCATGGTGAATATTTTACAATAGCTGCAAACACTTTGACGACGATGTGAAGTTTCGATCCATTTCTCTTATTTCTTTTAGATTACAATTATCATTATTATGTTTGCAGGCCTCAAAACTACTATTTCATTGTCAAGACCTACAAATTCCACAGTTTTTTTTTAGTTCAAAAAAAGACTGGAATTTGTAGGCTAGGTTTTGAAGGACTAATTTTTGTTACATCATAAAACATGACATTAACTAATGTATCTTCTTTAGTTTTAAAACTCTGACTTAGACTTGTGGTATAATTAATTTCAGGAGTTGGTGGGCGTAGCAATTTCTTCAATTGCCAGAGCTGTGGTATGTATTTTAAGTACTCTTTTAACAACTTGCAATTAGTTGGGATTCTATTCCAGATACATTGGTGGTGTGTTTGCGACTTGTCTTCATCAACTGTGCTTTAGGAGCATAAGAATCTATTCCACAAGTGACAGTTGTAGTGTAGGGTTTTACTTCTTGGTAAAGTAGGATCTTTTAAAAATTTTGCTCATAGAGAATCTGTAAGCAAAAAAAAAAACCTCAAAAGATGTGGGTCACGATGGCTATTCAGCCTGGAGATGTGAACCACTACTTAACGAACCAGAGGAGCAGTTAAATTGCTTCTTGAGCAATGAGGTTTTGCAGCAAAACCGGACCAGTCCTTGAGTCACACTCACTGCTATTTCATTTGCAACTCTGTGCCTCTCAACCACAACATTATTCAGACTCCAGGAGTCAAAGGATTGAGAAGGTACAAGAGTTTGGATTGCAGGTCTAGCCACCTTAACTTTTTTTTTACCATGGTCCGGTTGTTTTAAAACCGGTTACATCAAATACGGTTCATCTTGCAAAGTGTGGGAACAGGGGGGACTAGTAAAAGTAAAAGAATATGGAATTTACACAAACGACTGAACGAGACAGCTGAACCCAAATCATAAGAACAATTTGCATTTTGTAGTATAATTTTTATATTTATCCTATCATTTGTATAAGAAAAAAAAATCATAAAAGGACAAAGACGATTACTGTGCTAGACAAGATATAACGTATGAAAATGATAATACTCAAAGATGAGCATCTTATGCGTTGACAAAAAAAAACGTATCTTATGCAATATATCACCTTGTTAATCATATGATATTTGGCTTCATGGTCTCATGGTCATGGATAAAGAAAAAATGAAAATTCATGTCTTTCTTTGGGTCACAAAACAGAAAGACAGCAGTTCAGTTATGTCGTAGGCTATGGTGGTTTGTTTGGCTGATTTTCGAGCGTTGAGTAGTATATATGTGGTAGTAGAAAGTAGAAACCGTTGACAATGCTGCAATTTTCGTTAGCCAAAATATCTAAACTCAAGGGCAAGAAGATTCTCTTGTTTCTTTTTTGGATTCTCTTTACCCTCTATAGTGACAAAACTGCAACTATTCTTCTGGTTTATGTGTCAAGGCTTCGAGATTAACGAAGTGTGTGCTGTACTTCAACAGAATAACCTGAACACAGTTACTCTAACCGGACAAATGAAATTAGCAGAGACGGATAAAAACATATTGAAAAAGGATTAAAAATGAGTCCAAATAGATAGAGTACAGTTACAAGTTCGACATTGTCTTTAAAAGAATCTCTATCATCTTCTGAACAAAACTAATACCCAACCAGGATCTCAGTAAGTAGACAAACAAACATACAACAATATGAAGAAGAAAAAAAAACGAAGGTCTCTCGGATCTTTTTCTCTCTCTGTCTCCCTCTCTCTTCACTTATTCATTGCTAGTTATATGAACCAGCTCAAATTTAAATTAATGGAGAGCTCTCTCTCTCTCTCTCGTGTTCCTAAACTGCAACGATTAATATGGGAGATGATGAACAAGGATTTTAATGAAAAAACTGTACCTCGTTTATTTTCTGTTTTTATAACCCGTTAGTAGTAGTGATCATTTCCCTGGTAAACCTCATGGTTGAGTGTTGTTGGTCCATGTTCCACACGAAACCAGGCATGTCAAACCGAGGACCCGCCACTGTTCGGTATATGAACACTCTCTCAACAGGGCAGCTCTCTGGTCTCGAGTCAGGCGGACCCCTTTCATCGATGACTTCCACATTGAGCTTTGGCATCTTCTGTCCTAATAACTTACAGGCTCCAAAACTCACGGAACAAGAAGACATCCAAAGAGATCGCATTGTCTCCAGCTTTGAAGCATTGGCCAATAGCGCCTTGTCTCCAAACGGGCAGTCCCTTATCTCTAGTTTCCTCAAGCTATCGCATCCTGACAAAACATGATGCATGCCCAAGTCACTCTCTCCTGCAAATGCCACTGACAGCATTTCCATCTTCTTTGCATATGTCCCAATATATTCGAAAACCTTGTCAGTCAAGAGCCCTGACAGGGAAAGCCGCCGGAGATCTTTGCAATGCTCTACTATGGCTCCAAATCCAACATCCAGTGGCTCTAGAGTCATATGGTCAGGGGCTTTCGGCTCAATGATGCACAAACGGAAGCGTGTCATGTTGGGACGGTTCCTAGCAATGGTTACCAAAGCATCATTGGTCATCTGACGGCAGAAGTAAAGAACCGACTCGAGTTTTGGACAGCCTATAGAGACCGAGACAAGCCCTTGTTCCGTCAATGCAACGTTTGCCTCCACGACAAAAGGGTCAGACGGAAACACTCTCAACTCCCGAAGGTCCTTGCAGGTTGAAGCAAGCACTTCAAGACCAGTATCCTCGATGTAGTCCAACACCTATGTCAATAAAAATCATACTACCAATTAAATAAAAGTCCCATCAAACTATGTTGCTCATAATGTTAAAACAAGACTCACCCAGAGGCGCTGCAGTTTAGGGCATTGGCTAAGAAGCTTGACAAGATCATAGCTCTGGACTGTCGCATAACTCAGGTTCAAAGTAGTAACCCGACTGCAAACAGAATAAACCGCAGGAAGGTAGGCAGGAGCAGCATCCCAAAACCCAGATAAGCACTTCAGCTTCTTGCACCCGGAGAGAGCAACAGATAAATCAGAGAAGACATCTGGACGCACATCAGCAGTGTAGCCACCAGTGCCCAATTCCTCAATCTGAGGTGCTCTTTGAAGCAAAGTAGCCAGTTTTTCAAGAGGAACAGGTCGGTTAAGCTTTAGAGACTTGAGAGAGGGACACCTGCTCACCAGCCTTTCGAGGGCAGAGAAACTGACCTCAGAGGCTAAGCAAGAGATATTGAGTGAAACCAAAGATGTGTATGAATCAGGAAAATGGCTAAGCCAGTGACCACTAACATCCTCAACATCACTCTCACGCAAATCAAGCTCTTTCAGGTTCCTGCATATAAGATCATATAAAATTAAAATCATTTCCACACATCATGAAACCCTAGACCAGAAACATGGAAAGCAAAAAAACGGCAGCCAGTAAAAGAAACTTGAAAGTATAGAATGATGTGAATAAAATATTATCTAAAATGTTCACTAATTGTCAATGTTCTAAAAATCCTTAGGCGTTTTGATTATTGTTTAGGTGGACACCTGCCAATTTTTTTTTACCATGTAGCGGTTTACAAAAATCCTATTTACCGACAAGGCGGCACAAACTGATTTTGAAACTACAGTACTAATTATATAACTGAAATTAAACAGTATCAAAAATTGTATTTGGATACAAATTAACCTTGTAAAAGATGATACAACAAAGGGCAACGAAAAGGAATAAATTAAAAAGGGAAAACAGAATACTTTTGCGTAGTAAAAAACAATGAACCAAAGAGAAAAAGGTAAAAAGAGAAAAGAGCAAATTGATTAGATCTCTCCCACCTCAGTAGATTCACTGAGAAGGAATAAAGATAGATACATACTTCCGTAAATAGAGAAAAGAATCTCTAAAGACCAACAAAATCTATCTAAAACATCTTCAACCAATAAAAATGTTTTTTCACATCGAACAGATTACCTGCACGTGGAGGCGATAGCAGCGAGGCCATCGGTGGAGAAGCCATCGCATGACGAAAGCACTAAAACTTTGAAATTCTTAAACGACTTAGCAATAAGCTCCAAACACTCGTCGCTAACCACCATCCTCTTCAGCCTTATCTCCTCAAGCCACGTGTACGAAGTCGACATCGCCTCAATCCACGGATACACGTCACCTCCCCATCCCTCCGGCACCAAATTGAAGTCCGCGAAGTGTGGCTTCCCCTTAATCTCCACGGATCTCAGTTTAGGGAACCGACTTATCACCGCCGCGGGGCTGACGGCGTAGCAGTTCCCGATGAAGACTTTCTTCCGGCACCAACGCTCGATCTCGTACCATGACTTGCAGACTAGAGAGACGGAGTTTCTGTCTTTGTCGAGATGAATAAAGGAGAATACGTGTTCAAGAACTTCTTCTGGAAACGATAAGGACACTCGCTTATACATTTCGTTGAATTAAGAAAAAGGAGAAAAAACTCGAGATCTTGATTGATAGATAAGAAACGAAAATTGGGAGTGGTTTTGAGAAAGAGTTTGAAAAGGAGTGTTATATATGGGAGGGATAGATCTGAGGCGCCATTAACGGAGCGATGAAGCTGCAGAAACAAATTAAGGTGTAGAAAGAGAAGAAAGAAGGTTAGAGGAAGATGAAAGAGAAGGAAGGTCAAGCTCAAAAAAAAAAGCCAACTCTGGTTCGGTTAAATGTTAACCATGGTCAGACATCTCCATGTGACCCCTTTTCGGTGATTGTGATTGTCCTTCATGATTTTGACACGTGTACTTTAAAATTCGAATGGCAGCCGTTGGATTGACTGAAAGCGGGAGGTTATCTTATCAGACAAGGGCAGCCACACAAAACGGGACGATGGAAATGGGAGAGGAGGGGGAACTCTGAGAATTTACTATAACCTGTAGAAAGGCTTAATTCAAAGGACATTTTGATTATTTTATAAATTATGTTTTAGTGTTTAGCCTTAATTATATTTTTGTGACGTAATTTTTAGCTATATTTTGAGTAGTTCAAATGTTTTTGCTGATTCTTTTCTTGGAAAACGCGAGTACGAAGCCAAAAAAATTCATATAAATCTTAATCAGTAGTTTGAAATTTTTATTCAAAATTGCATTTTATTAAAAGTAAATATGACTTGATTTTTATGGATTTAAAGAAAATAAATTTCATATAATAGTTTATTTTCACCGAAATAACTCACGAATACAACAACATCAAAAGATTTTTTTTTAAAATAAATATATTTTTATATTCAAAAGTTTAACTAATTTATACTTATGGTTTCTAGTTGAAAGGTGAGGTTTTTGAGTGATATTTATTTTATTTTATTTAAAATGAATAAATATAACAATTATAAAAAAAATTCTCAAATAGTTCATTTTAAAATTTTTGTCACTAAAAAGAAAAGTGAACTTCCTTAAATAGCCAAAAGACCATATTACTCATTGATTTATAGATATATAAATATAGATAAATTATATAAATAAATAAAAACACTTTATATTAGTTTCGAATTATATGACTTTATATAAAAATCAAATTTTCTTTTAAAAATTCAAAAATGCTTTTTAAACTATTTTGAAGAATTTTGTTTAAAATTTTATATTTTAAAAATCTCCATCCATTGATTCTAAACATGTCTATATTAGTTAACCATATGGTCTTAAAGATATATATATATATCTTTTAATAAAACTTATTTTGATCATTTTTTTTTCTTGTGAGTTTTTTGGTGAAAATAAACTAAAATATATTGTGTTATGAATTCAGTTAAAATTAAAAATAGTTTCAAAAAGTATTTTTGATTTTCAAAAAGAAAATTTGAAAGAAAAAATGAAAAAAACATTTTTTGAAAAATAATTTATGAAAAAAAGAATTGGCTAAAATAGTTTTTAAAAATATTATTTATTCATATTTATGTATATTTATAAAGCAAAGAGTAATATAATCTTTTGACTATTTAATGGATTTTTTGTGATTTTTCTTTTTTTGGAGTGTGACTGTATGTCACATCTAGGGAGATGATTTAAGAAGGAAAAATGTTTACTCTAAATTTTGCTCATATCCACCTAATCAGTTGAAAAACACTTATGTTACCATTTCGCTAGCAACAGTTTAAAAAGAGTAAAAAAGATTGATCTTTTTCTCTATGCTTGTATTGGAGAAAATTGTTACGCTGGATTTACGTTTTTCTTTTATATTTACTTTATATTTTTTTACTCTCATTTCCTCTCTTGTTTATTCTGAGTTACTCTAATAAAAATCAATCAGACCCTTGAGGTTTTTCTGTGACTGACGAAATCTAAAAATGGATTATACGAAAGAATTGTACTTGTAGAAAGCATAAAAAATGAGCTCCGGTATATAGCGAATTAGCGAGAAGAGGTGTGAAGATAGTCTACGGCAAGGTGTATGCGAAGAGGGAATCTAATGATAGGGTTGGGTATGCAATCCACGGCTGGATATGACGATAAGCCAACGTAGTTTGCGGGGACCACAGCATAATGTGAAATTTTTTGGTAATCAATAATGCAGATGAATGATCTGACGGTATGAAGAAAGCCATGGTTAATTATGACGACATCAGAACCGTCCAATCATGTTTTGATGTGGGAATCTGACCATCTCCAAGGTAGTTGATTGTTTTCCAGTAATTTCATTTTTGTTTATTTTACCCAACTTGGAAGTCATGGATAACCACCACCAAAATGTTGAACATTATTTATTATTAAAAATACACTATCTTAACAAAAATGAAACATTATAAACCATTTTAGTGTAACTAACCAATCACATAAAAATAACATCAATAAAAATTAAAGAAAACTTGACGAAACATCAAAACATAGTTCATGTATTTTTATAATCTTAGTGTCGTCGGCAGGTCCAATCCGTAAAATTTAAGAGCTGGAAATAAAACCGAAAACTTAAATCTATTATTAATTAACTGATAGAAAAAAATTAAAAACATGGCTAGAGAGATTTGAACACTCCACTTAAAACACACTTGTTATCAGCATAAACCAACTGTACTATCTAAAATATTTTACAAATTATAGACCGAAATTTAAAAAATCTAAACGGAGCCGGAAACACATATATGTATTACTTGTACCCAGGACCGCTATTGGTCGTCGGTAAATTTGTAAAAATTAGTTTCGTCATTTTGCAGTAGATAATAGATTGGTTTTTTAGTAAATTCATATTACTACATTTTGAAATAGCTGTAGCAAGAGTTTATGTATGTCAATGTGAGGGAAGCATCCAATAGTTTACTGTTTACCGTATAAAGGACTAGAGAAAAAATAAAGAGGGAATGGTTACTGAAAATTTGAATAAAGTACGAAAGAAAGTGCAGCGTCGCATCTTAATCTCGACCGTCAGATCTGGGACCCTCTTTTACAGTGTACGGACACTCTTACACATAATGGTAATTAACAAAAACAAATACTATAAGACTAATTAAACTGATTCAAGAATTCTTTAAAATTACACTCAACAAAAAACAGTATATTTTTGAGAAATTTAATTACCTCGTCGGACGTGTAAAATAGGATAAAATAAATTATCTCTGTTGTTGTCGCACGTACATTGGGTTAATCGCTATAAGAGGAATGATATGACTAGAATGCCCTCCATAGCTTCTCTGTGGCAAGAAACAGTGTATGATGGGCTTTGCACTGTCTCAGCATGGACTCGGTAGGACTGTCCTCTCTAAATAAACATATGTCACAGATCCAACAGTGTATTTGCTCCTCATTGAATCTACGGCATCATTCTACTATATTGTTTTTCTTTTTGGCACCTTCGTTTTTTCCCTCTTGTTTTTCGAAAATATTATACCTAAAAAGCTAATTAACAGGAAATCAAAATTAAATTATATTCATACGAACGGGGAGCTGAGTTGTATTGCACGTAATACGTGAGAATTTTTCGTTATTTTAATGTTGTCAGAAAAAGGAAACTAAACTACTAATTTAATTAGTTGGATATTAGAGGTCACTGATTATTTAATAATCAATAGATTATTATTTTTAAGGATATGATTAGAATATAATCCCACGCATGGCTCCCCCGCGAATCTCTCTTATTTCTCCTCGGGTTTTGTACTGAAACTAGCTTGCACTTTGCTGTATATTACTACTGTAGTATTATTTATCTCCGTGATTGTTTTCTAAACTTTATCAATATTAGATCGGATAACGAACAAAAAAACTATTTATGTGAAGTTACAAATATTAGCCATTAGTGAAAATACGAGGCCGTTTCAAGGTCCTGCATATCTCTGTTTTTTGCGTCCATCGTTTTTTTCTTTTGTCCCATATCCATTGCTCATTTCATGTAGCTGTTTTGTCGACTAAAAACGTTTGAGACAGATCACAAATAAGAGCAAAACATTGTTTAAATATTTGTTAAACCCGCGTAATATAAATGAGTATATGTATGTGTACACGCATGTGGACATAAGTACAACACACATAATCATGTTTTATGTAAGATAGATGATGAGTGATAATGCGATTAATGAAGAGGTGGTGCACAAGTAAAGTGGCACGTGATGGAAGCTAAGCTGGATTTATGTTGATTATAATGACCTCACCATTAGTGGAAACCATTCCTTTTGGCTTTTTATTTTCATTTTCATTTTTATTTTATTATATTATTTCTCTTCTTTGTATCTTTATATGATTTGTCAAAATAACTAATACTTACATGATTTGCTTTCTAATTTCTTAAACTCGTGTTCCTCCGGGTCACAATTTTATTATAACCTTTTCCGCATTTATTTTGCCTGTCTCTCTACATTATTATTTTTCATATCGGAAAAATACGTTACGCAACTATACTTTTTCATTATTGGCTTTTAACTAATATTGGATGGTTCTTAGTTATTGATTACGCATGAAGACCGCATCATTTCGAAGAGAAGATAATAGCTTAGTCAACGCATTCTGGTTACTACTATATACTACTTCCGACGAGACAATATGTATCATATGTGAAAAGAATAACGAATTATAAAGAAACATATATGATTAATTTTGTTATAACCAGCTATAAAGGCCCAGTGGGCCGAGCTAGCGGGGCCACAAACTAGGGTGGGGGTGGGTAGGTGGGAGCTAGTGTGGACGTCGAGTCTTTTATCATCGCTCTTGTTTTGTCCAATCACGTATATTCTGTTTATTCTTGCATGTGACTTTTGTTTCTTAATCATATTATAATTCAAATTATTATTATTATTATTTTTTAATATTTCAAATTTTTTTTTTTTTTGTAAAATGTTAAATATTATACCAGATTTTCAATTTTTGACAGCAATTACAAAGATGACGAGTAGCGGAATGCGGTAAGTAAACTAAACTATACAACAAAGAGCGACAATTACAAGAAAGCAAAGTGGAAAACATACTATTCTATCTACCAGCTAAGCAACGGAAACGGGCAAGGACCAAAAGCAAACTGGAAGGGTCGGAGAAGAAGAGACGGTTGCCACGAGCTACCGAGAGATAGGCGCCCTCAAACCTAGAAGCTACGGCTCTTGCAGCTTCCGCAACCCAACACAACACAAACCAGCACCAAGAATCAAAGCACGAATCTACCAAACACACCAGACAAATGCATTCCCGACGGCACGAGAGAGAGTTTCCACGCGACGATGCCGTCGTTCGAAAGGCAGGTCTAAAGAATGCCGCCTCCAAACCCGACCCATCGTGACCGTCAACACCCATTTAACCGAACCCACATATAGAAGGAGCGGACCGCACAGAAACTCCCC